GTTTCTTAATAATACAAGAGCACAGATTTTTTTAAGAGCTAGTGATAAATTTGATCTACTTGGGACTTTGAAAGTAAATATTGAAAATAGCTTATTTAAACAAAATAAACCAATAATTGATGGAATATTTAGAATTCAAACCAATTCTTTGCTTAATGTTTCAGCATCTCTATTTGATGAAAATTTTTCATTATCGAGAGGGAGTGTATTTTTTGGTGACTTTTCTTAAACAAAATGCTATTTTAAGGATTGCAATTTTACTAAAAACTATGCTATTAAAGGTGGAGTATTTTATACTTAATATCTAGGTTTTGTTGCTTTTGATAATTGTGTTTTTTTGGATAATTTTGCAGTTTATGGAGGAATTGGAATAATAATGGATGAATCTACAATTAGTGTTGATAATTCACAGATAATTAGGAATAGTGCTTTTGACTCAAGTTTATTCTAAATTGTTGATTCATTTAGCTCTTTTTCCATCATTTCGAACACTAAAATTTACAATAACACTCTGATAAGCTCAAAAGACATTTAAAATTTGAAGAATTAAAGTTCACAGACTAGTTAATTATTTGATTAGTTGTTCGTTGAATTTCTTCAGTCTTAAGTTATCCCTAATCTAAACCAATCAACCCTTATGAAAAGTATAAAGATATCAAAAGCTAATTTAATTATTGAAAATGGCTCGATTATCAAATAATAGAGTAAACTCCTAGGCTGTATTTCTGGATTATTCATTCTTCGCGATTCTTTCGTTAAAGATATGGTTATTTATTAAGAGGATAACTCACTTTTGAGTTTTTCTAACTGCTAAATATTATTGGAAAATTCTGAAGTTAAGGGAATATCGTCTGTTATTTCTCCTGATTTTCAAAGATTCTTAATATTATTCGAGTAAAATCTGGGATCAAACATGACTTTGATTAATTCAATAATAGATGATTGCAATGTAACTGTAATATTCTCCCAATACTCCTAATTTCACCTTATTAATTCAACAATAAAAAATGTAAATAGTAATAATCATGATGGATTTTAAATGATTATCGATTCCGGAATATTTTTTATGGAAAATAGTTTATTCTAAAATTTTTAAACTGAACGATCAGCCCATATTTCAATATTAAGATCTAAATACAGTGAGATTAAGAATTCATAAATGCAAAGTCTAAGTTCAGATGCAATATTAATGAAGAGCAGTAGCTTATAAATTTCAAACTCCTCCTTCTTGTCAATGAATGAGGAGGATTTTTAACTATAATCTAAGACTATTATTTCCAAAAACAAACGATTTATAATGCAATATTATTCAACTATTTCAATCATCAACTCACAATTCTCATATTTTTACTCCTTTTAGCAAGGAGGAGTGTTAAATATTATCGATAGCAATATAACTTTATAAAATTCAATAATTAATAGTTCTTTCGCTTACTTTGGAGGAGGAGTATTCCTCAGTTGCAGTAATTGTAAGATTATTTTTACCTAATTTCAATTCATAATAGCTGTGAATTGCTTTGCTGATTTAAAGAATAACACATTTAGTAATAATTTAGCTTATTAACAAGGTGGAGCTATTGATTATAATAAGAATCAACCCTTAAATCTAGATTCAAATAGTTTTATAAATAACAGTGCTCCCTATGGTAATAATATTGCTAGCAAGGCTTTCACTATTAGGGTAATAATATTTAATTAGAATTTTATAGCTTCTTGAATTCACAAGAATTCTTGCTTAATCTGGGGAGAAGTACCCTTATCAAATTGTTCTAGAATTCTTAGATTATTAAAATGAAAGAGTCACCAATGATTAAAACTTGTAAGTGGTATTGAGGAATTATTGAACTATAGAATTGTAAAATTGTCAGAAGTCAATTTAAAATAAAATTCAGTCATTGGATAAAATCAGAAGAAAGCAGTTTAAGGGGTTGCTATACTAGATAATATTTATTTTATTGGTAAGCCAGGATCTAAAAATGCTTAATTCAAGCTATATTCTCCAAGTATTGACACTGATTATATGAAAGCAATTTATCAAATTTAAGATGAAGTCTAAATTAATGAGGTGATTTTAGAGCTAGACTTTTAATCTTGCTCTGAAGGTTAAGTTGAAGTGAATCTAATGTAAATTTTATTTTTTCATTGATTTATCTTAAATATTTATATATTAGATGTTATCCTTGTGCGGCTGGTACATATAATTTCTTCAAGGATTAGCAATAGTGTAATGATTGTTTGCCACACGCTGATTGCTTAGGTGGAAACAAATTATTTGTAAGAAATGGTTTTTGGAGATCTTCAAACATATCTACAGAGATTCATTAATGCTTAAATACAAACGCTTGTATAGGTGGATTGATGTTAAATGACTCTGAAGCAAACCCACTATGCTAATAAGGCTATGGTGGAAATCTATGTCATACTTGTTAAAAAATAAATGGAGTTTAGTATTCAAGAACAAAAAAGGATATTTGTGAAGTTTGCCCAGAATCTAGAGTAAATATTGTATTCCTTCAGGCTCTATTACTTATATTACTTTATCTGATATTTCTGGTAATTATGAACTTGAAAAGCAGAAAGACTAGCGAAATTTCAGTTATAATGAGAATTTTTACTAACTTCCTGTAAATGATATCTGGTACTCATCTGTTATAGCTTTCGTGGCCTTAACCGTTGGACCAATTTTTTTCATCATTTTCCTATGTGGGAGCATCTATCTAGAACCTTCTATATTTTGAATGCATCTTTGACGATTAGGTTTTCGAAAATAAGAGTAACTCATTTGTTTTCCTTTAAACACTAATTATTGGTCTACTCCCTTTGATGCTTATGGTATTTTTCTCAATCGGATTTATACTTTATATCATTTTTCGAAGGATAAATGCATCGATATTTTTTGACTGGTTTGCAATAATGGGAATCTGTGTCATTTATTTTACTCATCCAACACTCTCAAGAGCTGTAATGAACATTTATATCTGCATGGAAATTAATTAAGGGGAATATTGGCTTGTTAGTGATTTATCTGTAAGATGCTGGTCAGGAGATCATCTGACTCTAAGTTTGCTTGTCGGTTTACCATTCGGGATTTTTTGGATAATCATTGTCCCTTTTCTGGGGTTTTATTATCTCTATTAAAAGAAGGAACATCTAACCAATAAGTATTTTAATGATAGATTTAAGATTCTTTGTTCTGGTCTCAAGCAAGATTACTACTATTGGGAATTTTTCAATATTAGCAGAAAAATAGCCCTTACCTTTATTAATGTGTTTTTGCAAACATAGTTGCCTCTATTTAAATCAATGGTAGGCATTTTATTTCTAGGAGGAATATACAGACTACAGGATAGATATAAGCCATATGAGAATCCAATGATTAATGAACTAGAAAAAAGAGAGATGATAAGCGTCTTTATCTCATTTTACTTTTCACTTTACTTTCTCAATAATGAGTTTTAAGCATGGTCTTAATTATCGGCATTAGCTATTATCATAATGTTCAATGCTTGGTTTATGGTCCTATGGTTTTATCTAGTTCTAATTTAATTCAAGTACAATCTGACATATAAACTTGCAAATAAGATAAGACACTTTACACTATTGAAAATAGAGCCAATTAATATAGGATTGAGGATGAAAGTTGATTCACTTGTACTTTTTGATAAGATGGCTGACTAATTTCAAGAATAAATTAAGAATTAAACACTTATTACTCTCAATGATTAAAATTCCCTTCGAAGTGCAAAACAACCTATTTAAAATAACACACGAAAGATATAGCAATAATAAAAAGTAAATATATCATTCGTGAATAGAAATAGTTAAAGATATAAGCAAGACTAAAATCAATCTGATCTTAAAATCTCAGACGAACTAGAGGACATCTTTTCTTAACGAAATTCAAATTACTCTAAAAGAGTTAGAGAATTTTCAATAAGTGAACATAGCTCTTCTCGTAAGGATTTCAGACTTGATAGTAGTAAAATCCCTGTATTACAAGACATATCAATCAGATCATTTGATATTAATGAAGAGTTGTAAAAACCTAAGAATCCAAGCAAGATTTCAAAATCAAGATTTAATAAAAATCATTATAAAATACAAAAGTGAATTATCAGAAAAATTGATAAGTTTCATTTATTTTTACCTAGAGAGATATTTAATTTATGTAATATTCTGATCAATTATTTTCTATATAAATTATAAGATGGGGTTTTGGGGTTTTGGGG